TTATTCCCTAAGCAGCAGCTCCCAAGAGCTGTTTGGTTGAGCAGCTCGGTTAGAAACCTTGTAATCAAAATGGTGGCTTAACTTGACAACTTCAGCTTCACCTGTAGTAACAACATAAGGTGTATCTCCACTGGAGCACAAATGCCAGCTGGTTCATCTCAGGAAATTCCTGGGGGAAGTTCCCCTTCAGAAATGTCTCGGGCTTGTCTTATGTGGTGGAAGTTGCCGTTGCGGTGGGATGCCTTTAGCATTCATTGGTGTTCAGTGCTGCTGGATGAAGCCCAGAGCTTCAGTTGGCAGCACAGGTTTGTGTTAACAACGTTGTGGTTTCCTTAACACTATTCCCTGAAACACAGTGAAACCCATGCAGGTGGCATTACAAACAGTGGCATAAACAGATCTCTGCTGTTATCCCCCAGCTTGCTGCTGTCTCCAGTGAGGCTTTGGTGCTTTCCAGTTAAAATGCAGCGGTATCTGGAAGCTGCTCCTCCTGCTGACCTGTGTTTCTTGGTTCTCAGGTTGGGAGCTAAACCAAGTTCAGAAAAAGTTGGGTTTCCTTCACCAGTGGTGTTGGGACAGTGAAAATTTGTAGCAGAGGGATCTCAAGTTAGCAAAATGAAATTTCATCAGAAGGGTTCTGGTTTCCATTGCTTGCAGTGCTGGCATGTCTAGGTAGAGGCTGACCTGCGTGGTGGCTGCTGGAGCTTTGCAGGATGGCTGCATGGCACTCATCAAGCTGGTTGTCTGCTGCCCTGGTTCCAGGAGAAGGCAGGGCACTGAGTGTAGATCTCAATGAGACCTCTTGCCAATGAGGCAAGAAGGTATAGCATGACTCTTTCTGTGTAGCTTTGGAAGAAACTGAGTTGGGTTTTGGTTGTCAGGTACTTCCCCTCCAGGGAGCCCTTCACAGGGTTACAGCTGAAGAAAGATGTGCAGAGAACAAATGGCTGAAACAACTGACTGTGTTCTAACTACCTTTTCAGCCATTGTAGGAGAACCAAATAACTTTGCAAAGTACATTTTTTGGCAGGACAGGCAGAATATCTAAGGACAGAAATCTCAATTAACTGCAAAATGGTTTTGGTTGTTTTTGATCTGCAAGAGACATCTGAGTACTCCAGTGAAGCATGTTAGAAGTAATCCCTGATGGTAACTGGTCACTTTGGTTTGGAAATAGGAACAGCTTTGTAGCCACAAAGGGGTTGTGCCTTGCTCTTCATAACGAAGTGCATGAATAGTGAGGAAGTCATTCTTGTTCTCTGAAACAACTCCAGTAAACAATGTTCTAGGAAGTTCAGCCCAAAAGAGGGCATCTCTAGTGTTATGAGGATGCTTCATCGCTCATTTGCTACGATTGATGCTGATATTTTGCTCAGATTGCCAATACCTTTTCTGTTTTTAAATGCAGTGGTGAGAGGTGTTGGCTGAAACTTTATGCTTCAGTCGTTCAGAGGTCCTGTGTTGTTTCGTATGTTCTCTCTTCCTTCTCCCCGTTTTCTCGTGGAGTTGCAGTGACTGCAAGACATGATGTGTTTTCACATTTATTTTGTTAGTATTTGCCTTCTACTGAACATGAAAACAGCTCTTGATAAGAAGTACTATCTCTCCCCCCTCCCCCCCCGCCAAGTGAAGAATGTGGATTCTTGCACTTACCTTCATTTCTGATAGTAGCATCTTGGTATCTGCACAAGTCTGTTTACATGACCTTTCTATTGAGAGCTTCAAGGTTACCATCACCTGCTGTTCCCTCATTTCACACTTGTGGAGCTGTATAAAGTGTATGAGACTTCAGGCATTGGTTTGGAGAGCCATGGAACATCTTCTTCTGTCATAAGAGACCTCCTGTGCCACCTCTTGGAGTCTGTGCAATTGGCTGCAGTATGGGGTTATTGCTTTTGTTTCCAGGTGGAAGGGGAGTATCAAAGTTGTGAAAAACTGTAATTAAACTGTGGCAATGGGAAGTAAAAAAGAAGTGTTGTTCTCAACAGCGTTCAAAGTGTTTCAGGCAATTCATGTGTCAGTTTAGTGTCCCTTTGTGACATTAGGTTGTAACTGCCCAGAACTGTCTCTCGTCCTTGGACAAGATGTGGCTCTTCATTGTGTGGAGCTGTAGCTCTAGCAGCTGTTTCCAATTTGCCTTCAGCTTTATCTGTGCATCAGGCATCAATAGCATTAAGTCTGCAGAAGCAGTAGTTAGTAGATTATCATTATACTGGTTTGGAGTTAAAATTTTGCGAGTGTCACAAAGAGCTGCTGCCATGAAAAGGTTACTATGCTTTATTAAAAATTCTGCCACATGGAACAAAGATAGGGAAATGATTGTTTTTTCTGAGGGGATCAATTTCTTACTCCAACTTATATTCCAGTAACAGGCATTATCATAGTCAAATGTTCCAGTCGAGGCTATGGCCGCTGCAGTGACCTTAGGTAACTTCTTCTGTGGATGCTCTCACCAAGTTATTTTCATTTAGTGTGGATGTCCTTGTGTTGCCTAGGGGGAAGGTTGCTTTATGTTTTGGGTTACATCCTTTTTGGGATCATTGTTATCCTGCTCAAATATAAAGGGGCTACTAGTTTACCTTTTCTTTTTTGGCGATATTAATGAATTTACATATGAACTGTATTGTATTTGCATAAACTTTCTAGCTTGCTCTTGAGGTAATTTCCTGTCAAGCAAGTAGATTGTGCTGGAAACTCACCCGTTCAGGTGACTGGAGGATGGGATACTTTTCCAGCAGGGTCTCCATCTCTGGTGAATGCCAACTGAAAATGCAGAACAGTAGTGCAAAACCAGTCCCAGCCCTGTAATCAAGTTGACTGGTATCAGCATGGTTTCTCAAATGCAGAAGTAGAAAATGCACTTCTGATAATTTGACTTAACAGACAAATTTAATGAGTAGTGACAAAATAGCCAAGTACATGAAAACTAACTCTTAATGCATTCCAAACCTCTAAAGGAATGAAACAATAAGTTTATATGTGCCTTCCCAAAGTAGTAGAGGTGTCAGTCATGTTTTAAACCAGGCTTATAAAAGAAAAGCCAAAAATCTCCAGTAGCAACCCTTCTGCCATTCTGAATGTAGACCTAGAGCACAGAGAAATGCTAGTAAAATGTGGTCAGCTTTCTCTCTTTCAGTGAAATCTGCATAAACATGTGGTCTGAACAAGGGAAACAATGCCCTTTTTCTGGCTGATGATAAATTGTTTGCCATGAATCACTGTCTAAATAAGATGGTGTGAAAAGAAAATGAGAAATCTAATATGTTTTCTATAATTCCGGTTATTCATTGATTAAATGAAATGATCCATTTGTACCTCAATATAATTATAGTCAAGTCATCAGTGGAGGAGGAGAAAGCTGAGTTGTCAGGTGGAGTTAGCAGTGTTTTTTTCTGAATGCAACTTGCCTTGTGCATCTGCCCCATGTAGTAAAAGCTTATTGAGAAAGGAGGGGATCATGTGGATGCTGCTTTTGCAATTCTCAGCTTGTGTCTGCTATGTAAATGGCAATATGTTGATGTTACAGAATTTTACACCAGGTTTTGTGTCATCTTGCAATATCCTCTTATGCTTTTAGATGTGGAGGATGAAAAGCTGTTTCTAAGCATGTGGTTATAGCTTGATTGTTTAAAAAAAAAAACCAAAACATACTCAACAAAACCCAACTTGTGGAGCTTGTGGCTTTTTCTGTTGTATGCATTTAAACTCCGACAGAAGCAGTGGTTTAGGCTGTATTGTATGGTTATATTTTGACAGCTTTCAGACTAACCAAGCAGTAAAAAGACTTTCATTGCAGTCTTGTTTTACACTAGGAAAGATCGTTAAGTGTGCATAGAAGATTTGGGTTTCAGACATTGGATAACTTGGGAGAAAGTGTAATGCAGTCCTCCAGAAACTTTCCTTAAGGAAGTCTTAATTATGTATCTGGATTTTCCTGTACTTCCTCCTTCCTTTTATTTGAAAGGTTGGTGTTAACTGAGGGTGTTTGAGGATGGTCTTTTCAGTGGTGGACTTTGCAGCAGCTGCTGCTGGAGGCAGAGCAGGTGAGACAGCACAAAGGTAGGATTGTCTGCAGCTCTCTTGAAGGATCTCAGATGGTACAGACCAAGTATCCATCCAGCTGGCATTTTGTATTTGTGATTGTTTTGAGTCCTCTGAATTTTTCAGAGATGAGCCCTTAGGGGAAGAGGCTTTAGTAGCTGAATGGTCTTTCCCCGCCCCCCCCCCCTCCCCTTTCTGTTTTGTTTTTAATTCTTTCCCACTGCAATCTCCCTGCTTCAATAAAACCATGGGTTTTAATGCTTGACAGAGGGACAGCTTCAAATACTGCAGTGACCTTGATTTTCATGGGAGACTACTGCCCTCTTGGTTGGGGAGGATAGTCTTGATGGAGGTAGGTGAGTTGATACTAATCAGGCTTCAGTTCCCTCTGCAGTTTTCTCTAAGCTGTGTTTTCACCTCTAAGTATGTGCCTAAATGTTCAGAAACTGAAGAGGCAGCCAAGTGTGATAGCAGTGATGAATTTTGCAGGTTGAAGAACTGCTTAAAATTAGTGCCAAAGTAATCCCAGTGTGTGTGTGTGTTTTGTGTGTCTGTCTTTTTAATGTTCCAAATATCTTTTGACTCAAATGGTGAACTGCTTTGTAGTTTGCATCTTGTATGCACACCGTGTTTCAACATGGCCAATGGTTAAGTTTTTCTCTTGAATTTAGGAATTCTTTTCTGTCATAAGATGCATAGTAAAGCTGGTGTGCACTTAATTCTTATATTTCTTGGCAGCTGTTCCATGGAGTAATAAAGTAAATATTGCACTACCAGTGTGGTCTAGTTATTTCTTCCACAGAAATATAGGAAAGCCATAATATAACTTAATTTCACAGCCTGAATGTGTTTGGGTTTTTTTTTTTTTTTTTTCTTCCACAGAAATATAGGAAAGCCATAATATAACTTAATTTCACAGCCTGAATGTGTTTGGGTTTTTTTTTTTTTTTTTGCAACAGGAACTGTTCTTATCAGAAGCAGTAATGGTCACCTAATGCTGGTATCTCAACAGTCAATAGCAAAACCACAGAACCAGACACAAAACAGCACAAGTGTGAGACCATCTGTGCCGACCAGCACGCCTGCAGTCAGAATATGTGCTGTGCAGGTAACTTCTCTCATAACTTCAGTTTGACATAGCTGTATGGTATGTAGTTCTAATAGGGTTTGCAAATAAGTTGTGGAGGGTTAAATAAGCGTTTGAGCCTTTTCTGAATGGGGTGACGATGTTTGGTTTTGCACCAATAAACATCACTATGTGTTTTGCTTTCTTGCTTGGGAAAAAACTTGCGAGCTGTTATATATGGTAAAGGTCAGATTAGTGAACTCCTCTCTGATGATGATGATGATGTAAACCATTTTAAGAAAAAAAATTGCCAGCCAGAATTGACTATATCATTACTGCTAGTGTCTAAAACATTGTGATCCTTGTTGGGATGTTTCTCCAAATCTGAGTAAAGCTGAGGACCTTTCCCATGTCCCTAGGATATTCCTCCTTCCCTAAACTCTGCTGCCTTTTTCTTCCATCTCTTGTAGTTTGGTCAGCACACAAGGCTAAGGAGCTACAAGAAAGTAACAATTTATGTATTTCTTTAACCATTTTATTCTGATGATGCATTATCTCTAAATGTCTCTGAATCTGTTATTGAATATTAAACTGACAAAGAGCTTTGTTGAACAGTGTTTAAACTATATGGACTGTGTGAATGACACCTGTGTTGTTACTGTAAGAGAATGTGTCTCGGTTTGTATCTGACCCCAGCTTCAATGCCTATTTTGTCATTGACTTGTCTGACATCTGTTTTCTGCCCATGTGTAATTATTTTTTATTTTTATTTTTTCAAAGAATTCTGGCACACAGTTAGTAAAGAAAATAGCAGCTGCTCCTGTGAAAACGTTATCCCAAACAACAAATGCTGTGGTTTCTACTGTTCAGACACCTGCTGTAATACAGGTACTTTGCGAACTTTATAGTATGGTGGAATGAGTGGTGGAAAGAACTAGAGAAAATATGGATGCATTCTTGTTATTTCTATCTGTAATCAGGTTTTCAGTAAGCTTAGTAGCCTTTGTCCTCATAACAAATTATTTCCCAAATCGGTTTTTTTAAATGCATAATTTAATTAGGCTTCTGTCAGCATGTGTCAGATAGTCTTATCTCACTACAGTAGAAAGCACATGAACAATGAATAAAAGCAATAGTTCAGAGAGTCATTTCCAGTGCTTTTGTATGCTGTGACAGAGCTCCTTCAATCTCTTGCTAAATCTTCTCTGGGAGATGTGCACATGTTGGAGCACATTTTCCCCTGATTCCTTAGTGGGGAAAAAGGTATACCTGAGATGATGTTGAGGGGAAAATGAGGTCTGCACCAATCAAGCTGTTTTTCATGTTTATGATGTTTTTTCCCCTCATTATAAGCTGAAGGAAGGTCATAGCTGAAGACCTGTTCTCTAATTGAGTGTGGCAGATGGGTTCCACAGGTACAACTGTAAATAGGCAGTGGTTGAAAATGCCTCATTATTTTTAGGTAGTAGTTCTGTCTTATTTCCTAGGTTTTGTTTTGCTTTTTCTAGAGAAAAATGTTGTAGCCCTTTTCTGAAGAGGCTTTTATCACCTGCAGAGTGAGATTTTTCCTACATATGGTTCATCATCTGTTCTTGGGGAACCAGATTTCTGGATAAGCATGTGGAATGAAAAGAAACCTACATTTTTCTGCAGATAGTATGCTTTGTTCTCATAATCTGGAGGAGATATCATGAAGAAGTCTGGCTCATATCTCTATTTTGTGACAAGACTTTGAAGGAGACTGAGCTATAGCAGCTGACAAAACACTCTGTAAATGAGCAGGATCAGTCATTCAAAAAATCGTGCTGGATGTATGTTCTTGAACCTGAGGATGTTTGAAGGACTGGGGGATGTGTGTACTGACAGTGGTAGCAGTCTGACTAACAAGTTCATCCTTCTGTTCTTCTGTATCAGCAACTGAACACTACTCACACTCTGTGCTCTTTTTTCACTTCCCTCTCACTACAGATGGATAATGTTGGGGCTAAAGTGGAAAACCTAGAGGCCTCTCTTAATACATTTTCTATTTTGCTCAGAATGGAAACAGTGTACGCTTTGTGTCTGAATACAGTAATGGATATTCCTTACTTTTGCTTTGGAATACTAGCTTGCAAACCCTGTATTTGTGATCTCTGAATAGAGAGAGGTCTTTAGGATAGAAAAACAATAGTCATTTACTATACTACCCTTGCACAGGGGAAAAGAGATGAAGGTCATCCATCATCTGATGGATGAAGTCACATATGTCCTCGCACTCTCCTGTGGGTAAACAGTGAGATTCATCATGCTATTAACTTCTCTTCTTAAAATTTTTATCTCCCTTTGGCTTGTTTTTTCTGTACTTTAATTCAGTTTTGATGTAGTCTATTGAACTTGTGTTCTTCTGAGATATTTAAAGACATAGACTTGGAGTATTTTTTGTGACTTCCTTGAGGCCCCTCTGTTTTACAGAGGATTTCAAAGCCCTCTGTACAAGCTCCTTGTGCAATGAAGAGTAAATAGATGCAATGCGGATATATCATGCCATCATGTGGTCATGTTGCTCCTCATCCTGGGGTGGACAAGAGTGCTGAAAAGGGAGTCAGTGCAAAAAGTTGACATAACGATCTGGGGAAAGGATAGCAGAGCCCTTGAGTCTGATTTCCTTGGCAGCAATTCATTCATCAGTCTCAAAATAACTTCCTGACCTTAGTCTTGATAATTTTTTGAGGTCACAGGGAGTGGAGTGTTGGTGTGGAAGTGTGATGTCACCACAGAAAGTGGTGGAGAGTAGAGAGGAAATAATCCTTGGCTTGGTTGTGCATCTTCAGTCTTGTGTGAAATACAGCTTGGAACACTCTCTGCAAAACTCTGTAGGTACTGACTGCAGGATTATTCTTCTCATCAGTGGAAATATTTCCCTTTTCTGACCTCCTGAATGTTTAAGCTATGAGGTTAGACAAAATTCCTTGCACATTCTTATTTTTTACCTGTTTCCCAGATGGGGTAACAAACCTGCAAAGTGTCTAATTAGCATCATGCTGGGGCACTTTCATTTAGATGCAGAGCACTTCTCTTGAAATTACTTCAAAATATGCAGGATTAATGCCATTTTTTTGTGGTGACGGTTTCTCTGTTGCTCAAAGTGAAAATGAGAATTGTCAGTAGTGAAAAAGGTTGATGGCAGATGACAGAAATTAATTCCCATGTATTCATTTTCTTGGGAAAAGGGTCCAGGAGACTTCCTGTTTTTTCCTCCCTCAGCTGATAAAATACTATTCTAGTCTTGATGTGTAAGCATGCTGGAATTTGCAAGAGATCAGCTCCTGTTTTCGACTTTTAAGAGCCCAGGGCATTGCAACTTGGCAGATCTGCACTGTGTCCCCTTCCGTCTTCCTCCTGCCCATCTGTTTGTGGGATTCCTGTGCCCAGTTTGCCTCCCTGTGGTCTCAGAGCTGTTGAGCCTCATCCTTGGAAGAGGCAGTGGTGGTGGCAAAGATCCTGCAGAGAGCTATTAAAGTGTTACCAACAGTGGGAGCCTAAGTTAGAAAGCTTTCTGGTAGCTGCCTGCTGCTTTCATGTCAAGCTGGCAGCAGCTTGGGGAGGGGAGGGCACCCACCTAGAAAAAGAAATTGTAAATATATGACAAAAGTGTTGAGGTTTTGCTTTACCTTTAAACGTTTGTTGTTTCATTTTCCCTATCCTGAAAGACTGCTATTCTACATGACGTCTATCCCACTTTTAATTATTTTTTATTTTATCCATGGTAGGGTAAGTTAGACTCCTGTCTAACTCTCTTATGATTGATGCTATTAGCCAGTATTAGTTGTGCCTGTTCGACTAAGCTGGGTGCTTAAATGTGTTAAGAGTCAGTGGAAGCCATTACATAGTGCAGATCTGAACCTGGAATTTGGACTACAAAACCAGACTTTCCCTTCCTCTTCACAGGCTTGGAGGAGAGATGACATCCAACTTTAGGTTTCAAATGTTAACCTGGAACTCTGCCTGTGGGTTCCCTCTAGCTTTAAGTTGAGGAATCAAAAGTAGTGGTTTTTTGCATGGGCAGATTATTTTATTCGTATTTTATTCTGTTGTATCAAATGAACTGTGTTGGGTTTTTTTTGTTATGGTTTGTTTGTTTGTTCTCTTTAAAATCTGAAGTAGAAATACTTCAGTTTAGTGGGTTTTAGATTTAGCCTAGTTTGTAAAGAAGGGAGGTATTTTTTCCTAAGCCTTAATTACTCTCCTGTTGCTGGAGCTTCTGAATCTGTTGGTAAATTATAATGAGCTTTTAAAAAGAGGCCTCAAAAATAACTGAATTTTGTGATAATTTCTGTAAGGGCAGAGGAGAAGGAGATCCAAATTGCAGTCCACGAGGAAAAGGCAGGAAGAACATGTTAGGTCAATTTGCTGAGCTGGCTGCTTCTGCTGGCATTTGTATCCTTCCAAAGTGGATGTGATGTCTTTTGCCTGCTCTGTGTGTAATAGGAAAAGCAAGGGGCGTTGCCATTGGGAGAGGAGCTTCAGGGCAAGACTGGAAGATAAATAATCACTGCTGGTTCTGCTTGTCTTCAGAATAGTATCATCTGGCTTAGCATTATCCAAAATCCATTAGTCTTAGATTGTAGGAGCCTGGCAAAGTTAATATACTGGTTTCTTCAAGACAATTTTACCTTCCTCTCTTCCTTCAAAGTTGCCAGCAGTGCTTTGGTCTGGATGTGCCTCTGTAATTTCTTCCCAACACTTTTGACTTGTAAATAGAACTTACTGTATTAAATAGAGCTTCCCAAAGTAAATGAATCTAAACTCTTAAAAACAAGAAGAATTGTTTATTTGTGTTTCAAATAGCAGTGTGGAGGGAGGTTGCTACTTTTTATGCTAGCAGAATCCAGGGTAGTCGCTACCTTATATGCTAGCAGAATCCAGTATGTTTGTCACGTTGTTCCTTGGTTAAAAAGTGTTAATTTTTCTCTTCAGCCAGCAGCTGCAACAGCTAGTGTTACTACAGTTACTGCTGTAAAGCCTTTGAGTACTGGAACACCTGTAAAACTTCCAGTTACAGGACCACCTGCACAAGCTATCTCCCAAAAGGCAGTCTCTGTGAAAGCAGAGGGCACAACAGTAGCACAGACCAGCACTTCTACAGTAAGGAAAAAAAAGTTTTTAATTAAAAAATAACATTCTGTATGTTCATCAGAGGTTGAAGAGACAGTACAACATCTAACAGTCTTCTCTTTATTTCCACACTAGGAGATGCTAGAGAATGTGAAGAAATGCAAGAATTTTCTTGCTACTCTAGTAAAATTGGCATCTAGTGGACCTCAAGCCCTTGAGATGGGGCAGAATGTGAAGAATCTGGTGCAAAACCTACTGGTGAGACTTGTTTTTCAAAACAAAGGCTGCATCATTTGTCTATGGATTTTTGACATTTTTCACAGTTTTGTTCCTGTTATTTTGTAGATTTTATTTTTAACAGCTCAAGAGTTGGATTTGTGTCTGAGTGCATCTGACCCTTGTTAAGTCTTACATTATAAATTTTATTTTAACTGAATCCCATGCTGTTTTATTTTCCCCCCTCACATTTCTGTTTCACTTTATGCACATAGGTAACTGCTAGCAGGAGGGGCTGGTAGCGTTAATACAGCCTCTGGGTCTGTATTTTTTTTTCATGTTAGTGTAGTTTTGAGTCCTCAGTAGCAAGAGTCTGATGTGCAGGTTGCAGTGCAGTCCTAAGTCCATACTACTGCTTTACTCCAAGACAGAACTGAACAGTGGAACAAGAATGACATTATCAATAGCTTAAAACAGTAGGATGGAGCAAACAATGTGGTGGCTGCCAACCTCACTCTCTTTGCAGGTGGCTTCCGTATGGTGCTTTGTGCTGTATCCCAGCACAGCTGGGTTTTCCTGGTAACGATTTCTCCTGCCACTTCTTGTCATGGCATTTGACCGCTGCTGCTGTGTTGTTGTTCCACCGTAGCAGAAGGCTGTGTGCTGGTGGAGGGGGGTGGCTTTGCTAGTGGGACCAAAGGGCTTTTCAGTCTAGGAAGGTGTGATGTAGACAGGTGTAATTTCAGAGAGCAGATTGTTTGAAGAATGCAGCCTTGCAAAAATTTGCTTCTTTAGCCCTCTGTCCCTGCTGGAATATACACCTTCCTTCTGTGGGAAAAATAGAGTTGTTCTTTCTTGTGCTTACAGTACTTGTTGTTTTTTGGGGTTTTTTTAAAAGATCAATTATTAAGAGACGTTAATACATTAACTGCACACTTGTTTGCTTTTTGTAGTAGTTTAAAAATCTGCTATTCAGTATGTGTATGATTTGTGTGTATGAGAGAAATGAGTAAATTGCAGCTGGGAAGCAAAATGACTCTTAAGGCAGCGTTTCATGAAGTGGGTGTCAAGCACCCTGTATGCACTGAGCCTTAGTGTGCCAAACCACTTGCATCTGTGTCAGTGAGACCTGGGTGACCCGTGTCTGCATCTCGGTGAGATCTAACAGTCAACAGATCAAGTGGCTAAATGGGAGAGCTGCTGGAAGCTCTGTTTGTCTGCAAATACACAGTCTTTAAAATCCCTGTTCTGGTTATGTAGCAACTTGGAGCAGTTTCTCCAGAGGTGAATATGAGTGAGAGGAGTAATTTCTCAGCAGAAATGGAGATTGGTGCTGCTCTTTGTGTGTCTGTACCTTCTTGGGGGAGATAGTGTTCTTGATGACTCTGGGAGGGTGAGGAAGAGGAGTAGAGTCTGGGGGTTAGCCCTGTGTACAACTAAGGGGTCACAGAAGCTCACTGCAGCTTCCTAACCCTCCTGAGCCTCTGAGTCAGGTGTTTGTGTTGGGACAGGCTGGAAAGCATTAAGAAAGGAAACAGTACTCTGCAATTCAGACGACTGTTACCTGGGGATATGCAGAAATGTTTTGATTGCTTTGAAAAGAGTGTGTTAAATGTTCTATTATGATGTGAATGCAGTAGTCTGCAATTGTCTTATAAAAACTGCTAAGTTGTCATTAGTCTTAAATGTCTCTAAGTTTATTTTTATGCAGATAAACTACCTTTACTGAAAGAAGTACTAGTAGTTGATTTAAAATATATCTACATAACAACGGGATACTCAAAGGGATCAGTGTTGCTTATAAACTTCTTTCTATCCCTTTACTTCAGTGACTAGTTGTGAGCACCTATCCCTAAGTGTATTAACTGCCTGTAGCTGAAGAAAGCATAAATAACTTGGGCAATACTATATGAACATGACAACATTATTCTATCCTAACTCCCCTTTTTTTTCTTTTTTAAATAAAGCAGGAAAAAAGCTTTTGAGTACTGAAATTGAACGATGCCATGATAATACAAGTTTCCATGACCTTTTGATACATCTTGGGAAAAAACTGTGGTGGATTCCGTTATAACTTATTATTGTACTTATATTTTCCTCTTAGGAAGCAAAAATTGAGCCAGAAGAATTTACAAAAAAGTTGTACATAGAGCTTAAGTCATCTCCACAACCATATTTAGTTCCTTTTCTCAAGGTAAGTGTCTGATTATGGATATGTAGTATTTAAAGAGGGAAGGGAGGAGGACCAGAAAAGAAAAGAGTTGGGGGATTCAAATTTGTTCAGGTCAGTTGAAGAATGGTACTTAGGGATACCTCTGTGACTGTTGTGCTTGGAAAGGCAGTTCTTAAGGGGAAGGGGAGTTTTTGAGGAGTAATTTATGCTGTGTTCCTAATGTTGTAGAGTAATTGCCTTCTAGGTGTTAGTGGAGACTAATATGCTGGAACCTGTGCATCTTATCTACAGTAGAGCAGCTGTGTTAAGATGTCCTCCTACTTTCTCATCAAAATTGTAGCAGTTCTAACTCAGAGGCTGACAAGAGTGGTAATGCACAAGCTTATGCCATGTTAAAGATCAAAGAATCTGCATAAAGCTATTCATCTTCTGCTGGTTTACCTTTAGCTGGCGGCAGAAAAAATCTCTACCCCTTGCTCCAGAAAGGGTCTGACAAGACTACTGTAGCTTGGGAAAAGGATCCCAGGGACTCTACTTCTGTTCAAGCAAATAACCATATAAAGGAAAAAACATGCTTCCTTGGGACTCTTAATCATATTATAGAATGGTATTAACAAAGTAAAGATTAATTATACAGCAAGCATTAAATCTCAGTGAAAACATGGAAAACTATGTTAAATTTACTAAATTTCAATGTACACCATACTCTTAGGTTTGTTAGATCTGTACATTCATTATAGGCATGATGGTGAATAAAAGAACAGTTAAGTAGTAAAACTGGGACAGAGATTTTTTGGAATTTTCCCTTTTCCTTGGTATAACAATGGTATAACCTTTTCCTTGGTATAACAATGCATGTGCTAATGTTGAATTTGCTCTAGATGGCTGGTGTTAATCTGCAGAAATCTGGGATAAAAATTTTCCAAACTTATTAGCAAGGCTTCTAAATGCCTTGCTAATAAGTTTGCCAGGAGTCTGAAAGAGTGCAGTCATCTCTTTAAGCTGAGATGGGAGATTCAGATTTGATATTAGAAAAAATAATTTTCACCGTTAGGATAGTCAGACATTGGAATGTGTTGCCCAGTGGGGTGATGCAGTCACCATCCCTGGAGGTGTTTAATAGGATCTGGATCTGGTGCTAGGTGGTGAGATTTAGTGGTTTAGGGGATGCAGTGTTAGTGCTGGACTGATGGTTGGACTTGATGATCTTAAATGTCTTAAAAGTCTCTTCCAACCTTGATGATTCTATGGTACCCAAAATTTTCTAATTGGTCATTTATTGCCTGTTTAATTTCTTGGAGGCTTCTTAAATGCCCATGCAAAAGCCAGAAAAATAAACAGCTCTGAGAATGGGCTTTCTGCATCCAGTGTGGCTCTGGCTGCAGAAGGACCAGGCTGAGAGTACAGGGTCAATGTGACTGGCACCCACAGAAGTGCTCAGCTGTTACAAGAAGCCATCCAACAATGTGAAGAGCTGCTACACTTGATGCAGAGAACTCAAGGCAATTCTGCAGGGGTTAAGTTTGCTTCATCAGCATGGGTCAGACCCTGACCTGTCACAGCAGAGCCCTTGTGTATTTCATCTGCGGTGCACTGCCAGGTACTGGCATCATCTAGGCTTCCTTGATTTGGGCAGTGTCCATACCACATAATCCTTGGCATGGTGCCCTCTCCCTGTTGTGTGCTACATTAACAAAGAGGCACTGTGACTTCAGAAGTGTTGTTCAGACGTGGTCAGAGTTAGCTGACTTTGCGGTGCTGCCAATCCTTTAAAACTACTTGCACCCACATTGCCTTTTCCTGAAACCCTGTAAGGGTGTGCAGTTGATACAGACAATTAGGTTGATCTGTAACTGAGCAGCTGTGACAGGACTGAGTGCCAAATGGAGGATAACTTCAGGAGCACTTCTCAAAGGTGCTAAGAGGATCAGTGCTGGCCTTGTTTGTGGGGGAAATGTTTGCAGCTTGAGCCTGGAAAGAAATGTGATACGGCTTTTTGCCAACCCACTTTTAGCTAGTGAAGTGGAATTTTAGGGAGGTCTCTCTGGAGTCAGCTCTTATCTTTGAGCTGCAGGTTTTTGATGAAGTTTTGCATGTGTTTTGTTTTGTGTGTTCCAAGAGGTGGAAAAAGAACAGTGGCTTTGGCTGTGAAGCCTGCTTGATTTTCAAGTCTGCTGGATGCTTTTGGTACGTAAATTGCATCAGAAGCTAAGCAGCTTTTTAAAAGAAAAAGAAGTGAATGTTAAAAAACAGATGGGCTGCAAAATGCTCAGTTGTAGAAACAATATGATTACTTGATAAGCTGGCATGTGAGACATGCGCCTTTTGCATGAAGTCCGAAGTGGCTGCACTTTGTTAGGAGCTCTTTGAAACTTTAGCAACTGTTAAAAGAGGAAGAAAAAACATAAGGGTTTTCAAGAATATACAGGTAGCTGCAGAGCTGATTTCCCCTGGTTCAGAGCCATAGCAGATTATGAACAGTGAAGGAGAAAAATCTTTAGAGAGTTTGAAGATTATTCTGTCCATTAACCTTCTCAAACACAGCTGTAGTAAAAATGAGATGTTGCCAGATTCCTTTACTTTTGTTCTCCTATTGCAGAGAAGTAGGCGGCTGAAGTTGTGTTGCTGCAGCTCTACAGACATTATTAAAGTGGTATCCCCCCCTAGTGTAGATACAGCTGTATTGGTATAGAAGTATTCTTGTCTTCAGAGCTTGTTCGTGGCTTTATTGGTTAATTGGTAGCTCCCTATCAGGCTCCATGAAATAAACACAGCTGTTCCAATACAGCAGTTTTTTTTTTTCTGGCAAAACAAAATTCTTTGAGGTAATAAAGCAGTTAAAATAATCTTACTCTGAAACATAAATTCCAAATTGAAAAATCTAAACAGAAGAGCAAAGTTATAAGGGTTTCCCCATAGATGAGATTACTATGTGTAGTGTAGCTGTGGTGATGGTTGACCTTTGTTCAGCTGGTGTTGGTGTTCCTTGTCATCTTCACTGAATGGGATTGTTATGAATTTAAAGGTGCCTGAAATTTAGCAAAACTTGTTTGCTGTTTATTGTCTCATGAAAAATTTAATTGGAAAATGAAGAAGAGGATTCAGTTACAAATGTATTATTATTGTAGAAAACTCTGCTGCTACTACATCCAGTGTTTTTTCATTTTTCTTTTAGAAAAGCGTGCTTGCCCTAAGGCAGCTAATGCCTAATCCTCAGAGCTTTATCCAGCAGTGTCTGGAGCAGACAGCCCCAACTCAAGAAGTGGTTTCTACTTGTCCCTCTGCAGTACCAGCTCCTGTGACAGAAGCGGCAACTTCGACTGTAGCAACAACTGCTCTTCCAGCTGTAAAACCTGTGCCTGCCTCTGCAGCAGCCACAGCCCCTCTCGTTATCACACCAGTCCTTGCCAGCACATCAGCAGCTGCTCCTCTGCAGGCTGTGAAGGCCATTCCTTCCCCTGCCGTGGGGCCAGCATCGCTCAGGCCCGCAGCTCCCGTCCTCGGCACGCCCGTGGCATCGGCCGGGCTGACCGCTGGCCGGCCTGGCAAGCTGCTCTTCACCTCCACGCTGCCAGCGCCCTCCCTGCAGGCTGCAAAGCCAGTGCTGGTCTCTGCAGTGGCATCTTCAGCAGCAACCCCTCTCCAGCCTCTGAAACCAGTCATCGGAACCCCAGTTGGTATTAAGATCTCTCAGCCCAGCTCCATGGTGGCGCGGTCAGTGGGTGCTCAGCAGGTGGTTAAAGTGAAGCAGCTGGTAAGGCGGATTCTCTGCTTCTCTGTAAGAACCCGGCTCCTTTACTTTGATTCTTGCCATTTAATAAAGAGGATACCTGTTTGGACCTCTGGTTCTTCTTTTGTTTTTTTCTTTTACTATATGAAGCTAGTCTGTCTTGAGTCCATCAGTTATGTTTGTGATAGTTTAGAAACGCTGAGCCCTTGTTGGAAAGGTGAATCTAAAGCCAAGCTGTCAGCTTGGTCTCTTGTAAGACATGTTGATGTTGACCACCATTTCACCAGACTGAACATCCATCTTGAGACACAGGGGAGATGGGGTCTAGCCCCCACTAGGCCCACAGCCAGGCACCTGGCAGAAAGATTAGGAAATGCAAGTGTCAGAAACAGAAACTGCTGATGAGAACTTCTGTTGTGCTGAACAGAAACTTACATTAATTGTTCCTGGATGCCCTGTTGGGGCTGTGCCTCAGCTAGCCACCAGGGATGCCAGTCTCTCTCCCCTGGTAGTCCCTGCCCTGGGTACTTGGCAGGCACAGGTGGCTTGATATTGTTCAATGATATGTTATCTGAAATGCATGAGCTACCTCAAGGAGCTTTTCTCATCTGAGTTCTGACCTCCACATTTACTAAGACGTGTTAATTATAAAGTTGTCCAAAAGTGAGTTTTTTCTATCAGGCCTCATTAGCTAACAAATTCCAGGAGGAATAACTGTCTTATTAAAACAATACCCTCAAAAGCAATGTGTTAACATTTTTTATTCTTGGCACAGGTTAACTTCTTGCTAATATTAATATTAAATACCAAGAAACTGTGGATCACAGGTGTGCCCAGAAGAACAACTTTGTGAGATAAATTAGGTTTGGCTAATATTAGATGTTTAGGATACCAAGTAGCATAGTGTCCAGCTGGTCTACCTGTTAGTAATGCCTTCAAGTATTTTGAGAGAATTAGTCTCCCTTTGGCAGATAAAGAGCTCAATTCTTGGAAAGGAATTCCTTATAAAAATTATTTTTCCTTACAAAAGGGGGAAAATCTATTAGACTTCTTCTGAAACCAGATTTATGTTCCACAGGTAAGGCAGGACATCTGCAGTATGAGTTTTCTTTTTAGCTTGGATATTATGTGTACTTGATTTAACAGTGTTCAGACCCCTAAAATGTTTGCGTTTTTAATTCCCTTCCTTTCAAAGGGCATAAGGTAGATGTAATACAAGAATCTTGCATTCTAAATAAAGAGTTCATGCTATGGCTAGCGTAAGCTAGCATAAGAATGAGCTTTTCACCTTTCCAGACTTGCTTAAAAAGAACAAGACACTGGGATGGATCAGGAGACCTTTTTCTGAGTAGATTTAAAAAAAAAAAAGGCAAAATACCCTTAACCCCAAAACTCCAAAGAAGAGTTATTAAGCATATGCACTGACAATCTTGGCTAGTAATAGCTAAAGTCAAGTTAGAAAAGGAGTTGGTACTCATATTGTCTTTGAGGGCTACATTATTTGAAATTCCAGCCAGAAGAAAAGGAGAATTTCTTGGGTAGTACAGGGGCAGGAGAGGAGTTTGTTGGCTACATAGCAAGTCTTGTAATCCAAGGGAAAGGTTGACCATCTGTACAAATAGGCAAGGAAGCTTAGCTCCACACAGGGGAGTCAAAACACTTTTGAATTTGATATTGGTGAACTCAAGAAATGGCTTCTGCCTCTACACTGCTGCACTGTGGCAGTCTGCTGCAATTGCTTTTCTTTGCTGTGCTTACATATATTGAATTGCATACAAAACATGTTTTTATCCTCATTTGGGTATGTGCAGTGATTAAAATACTTGCTCTTCTCAGATACAGTTGGAGGACTGAGTTGGCTTCTTCACAGCTTAGCCATATCAGGAGCTTGGTGTTTGTTCAGACAACTTACTAGCACGAAGGGCAAATTAATAGAAATGGCTGTATCTCCTATGGCTTCCCTGGTGCCTTTTCTTGAAAGGGCAGAGGGACTATTTTCTCCCATAAGGAAACAAATCTGGACTGCCCTTCCTAAACAGAAGGGTCCTACTGCCAGCTGAAAAAGGAAGCACACTGCCAGCTGTGCAAATCTGTTCATACAGTGCTGCCAGTAATTTTTTCCCTTTTCAGCCCACAGGGATGTCTGATGCCATACACTCCCTCTGCATGCCCCTTTCTAATTTTGGCCTCTTGTGCTTGAGAGAATTTGAACTCTCATGTGCGAGCTCCATTATAATGTTGGTGGTGCTCAAGAATGCAGCATCACTCAAGAATGCTGTATTTTAATATCAAATTTGTGACTGGAGTGATGCTACATGAAACTTTTCATTTCTGTATCATTTTTAACAAAACTCTGTGTGGACACTTCAGGACCTGTTCTTCAAGGGTGCTCTTGGGATTGATTGCACTTCTGTGCTGTGAGAGTTACACATTTTGAAGGATTTTCTTCTCTGACTTTCTTAACACCACCTCATTTAAGGGTGTTGGCTTACAAAGACTTTTCATCTTGGAAATAAAGTTTGTCTTCCTCTACTATTGCTTTGTCTCTTGTTAAAGCACCATAAATGAAAATTTACATTACCAGATACTGGCATCCATTGCTGAGAAAGCTTCTGTGAGGTTACAGCTTCATGTCAGGCATAACCAGCTAGGGGTTTATGGTGTAGTCCCCACAGTTACCAGTGAGACACCCTGCCTGGAGATTATTAATGATTGAACCAAGGAGTGAAGTGTTTATGCTGCTGCAACTGCTTGTTCTTAGTGAGTTGTTAATGTCATGTCCCGTCAGAGCTGAGCTTTCATGAACAATCATCTCCATTTTTTTTTTTTGTCCTGGTTATTGCTCTTGCATTCAATTAGTGAGTCTTCCTTCATGAAGCAATACTGCTTGTGTGTGATGATACCTCAGCATGCCTCTGCTGATATCCAGACTTTGTTTTATGAATGTAAAACAGGTTCAGTGGGGCTAATCAAAGTCTCTTTCAGGCAGCTGTCTCTTCATTGTCAGCTGAATATTGTGTTGCATTTCTTTTAACTTAAGAACATCAATAATTTTATTCTGATGTCTGTGTCAGCCTGCTTAACAGCACACAAAGGAGAAGTCCCTTTTCTTTATTATTTCTTGCTGCTAGCCTGGAGAAAGGATAATCTCACAGATATTACTGATGTTGGTAATGCTTCATTCTGACATTGGATCCTTGTTGAAATTTCCAGTGGTGTTGTTCTCTCCTACTGCAACTCTCAAGGACTTCCAGCTTTTGTTAGTCTAGAGCTAGAAAGGCAAACAGAAAATGAACTCTACTGCCAGCACATCCTCTCTGTTTCTTGGCAATGTTGCCTCTTTGGTTACTTGACTTACATCCCAGTCTCCACTTAGACCATTTTTGTAACATTGCTATCTCTGTTCTTTTGTTTGCTGTACCTCAATCTGTAATGCTTATGTTTCCTCCTGTGCTGTTCCAGTGTTTTGCACACTGAAGATGAAGCATCATTCTTCCTGGTGGTAAGAAGGATCTCTAGGTATGTATTAGTGCTATGGAGCCTATGAGTAGTGTGTCCAAGCTGGTTGGCTTCTCATTAGTACCTGAACTCACAGAAGACACTGCTCACATTATTCACAACTTGCAGTTCTGGAAGCCAGATCTTTCTGAGAGATCAATCTGAGCTTTGGGATAAACACATAGTAGTGAATGTTAGCATCTGTTCTGTTCCATGAGGAAGTGCTTCATATGTGAGCCTCATCTCTGTCCACAGTCTGTCTCTGTATTCCTGCGTTCTTTCCTCCTCTAGATATTAATGTTGTCTGTCAGATTTTCAGATACCACTTTCAGCTCAGTTATTCTATTACTGCTGCTACTCCCAGCCTTAGTGCTACCAGTACAGAGATGGTTGCCTCTTTGATACACAGACTTGACTCTGTGATACACAAACTATCTTTTTGTGAATGTGTGATGCTTATGTTGATGATATTTATTAATAGTGGAGAAGTGACAGGAGAGAGCATAATTTCTCAAGTATTGTAAGTGTCAATTCTTTAATTACACTTGTGCAAGCACCTTCTAGACTTTCTGAAGTAAGAATGAAAGATGTAGAGGAGAAAAATGACTTCTGGACCCTGACATTTTCTTTGTTAGTTTTCTGCTGCTAATAAAATAGAATTCATTCTGAAGATGTTGATCTTGTGCTTTGGTGAAGTAACATCTTTCTACTGTCCGTAATCATGAACTTTTTAAAAGATGTATCAAAGCTGAAGCCCACATTCTGCTAGCTAGGAGGCTTAGAAGTGAGATTTTTAGGGATGCTGCGATTTTACTGCTGCAATTTTATTACTTTCTTGCATTTTAATAGCTGCCCCTGAAGAGGAAGGATTCGCATTTATGGGCTGTGCCTGTAGGTCTGTGTTGTGATGACATCCTGCTGTCTGGTTTTGTTTCTTTGAAGAGTCTCTTTAAACAAAACTATGAACTGCCTTCCTTTTTACCCTTCAGCTGTGTACTGATGTCTTTGTGTAGAGGCTCTACTTGCTATAGGTGTTGCTATTTAGTACTTCATGTTCCTGGCAACTGTTTAGAGTGTTTTAGCTTAACACTTTGAAACTCAGCGTCTAAATTTACAATTGAGGTTGCAATTCCAAAAGCACATCAGTAATTTTATAGCATGTACTCTTTAATTCTTAGCAGGTGCAGTATTTCATGCAAGACTTCAGTTGTTTTGGTGTTCTCCCTTTTTGACTAGGTGTTTGTGATACCTATGCTTTTGAAGTTACTGGCAGACTCACTATTTAATAGCCTGCTGAGCGAGACTTACACAGAGAAAAGCCTCTCAGTGTAATGGCTTGTGTGATAATTAGTGGAACTTGTCAAACAGTCATCAGTAGAGAACAGGGGTGAAGTGTCTGTTAGAGCTCACTGAATGAGCTTAAAGCTCACTACCACTTGTTAAGATTTGTTGACTTGAAGTTAAAAAAAAAAAAGGCCTTTCCTGAGCAAAAGCTGTTTGCTTTAAATTGGAAACTAGACAAACATACCTGCCCAGTGGCATTCCTGGCTAAAAGGAAACATTGATACTATTTACTTCTCTGTACTTTTAGCTCTTCTAACTGTTGATATTGGATATTCCACTTCCAGGTAGTCCAACAACCATCGGGAACCATTGTCAAGCAAGTATCCACACTCCCACAGCCCTCAGTGCTCACCCTACAGACATCTGCTGAGAAGAAGGTGCCTCTGAATGCACTTGTTCAAACCAACCAGTTTCCTGCAGGTAAAGTGCAGGAACTTCTTTCATGGAGAAAGGGGAGGACTGCTGAGTGTAGAAGTGCATGCAGGTGGTTGGTGGATTGTAGGAGTGCAAGAGGGTGGCTGTCTGCTGGAGCAGCCAGCTCTGTGCATTAGGTTGAACATCTTTACTGTCTGGAGCTCTGATGAGAAAATCAATGTAACATCTACTTCCGGCACTTGTTAAGAGCACATCAATCAAATATTTGTTCTTGTTAAAATACAATGACTGAGCGCCTTGCAGTGAACTTCCTCTAAGCTGATGATTTTGAGAGTTGTTTCATGAGGCCTTGCTTTTTCTTTTAACAGGTTCAGGTTGATGTACATTAAGAGTTTGTCTCAGCCAGTTTTCACGGAAACATTTTCCTGGTTAGCACAGAAGGGAGGAGGGAATTTGCTGGGAATGTGTGAGGCTTTGGGCTATACAGAACTTGTAGAATGTAAGATTCTAGAGTGTCTGGTTTTCAGATGGATGCAGTTAGTTGCTACTGAGTCTGCAGTAGCCTTGCTTAGAATAATGAACTAACTAAACAGTTGTCTTAGCATTTTTCTTTCTACTATAGCATGTTCTTTGTTTTGTTTTAGGTTCCACTCTGAAGCGAATTACCTTGCCAAGAAATAAAATATGGTCGCTTCAAGCATCTCCTGTTCAGGAAGCGAAAATGAAAGAGAATGGAGCAACATCCTTCAGGTAAAAATGAACAATATCAGGAGTTAAGTATAGAAAGGAACAAAAGGAAGAAACAAGCATAGGGGTGGGAGTGGAGCCCAAATATTAGCAACTTTCTTCAGAAGCTTTTTTCCTAATACATGTTTTTCGTGTCACACTGCTCATGGGCAATAGGTAACCTTAAAACTTCTATGCAGATGTTAATTATTCTTAGTGTAAGAAAACTGCCCTGGTGAGGTTGGGTTTTTTGTCAGTTTTTCACTAACATGTTTTCCATCCTATGAATACAATTACTAATCTAGTTATCTTGTAGTAAAGTCTCTCAAAGCAGATAGAACCTCTGTTTTTTGCATATAGTCTGATAGCATTGAACTGTTACTTGAGCTGGTTTGTAACCTGTCTAAAGCTCTGTGCTGCATTTTAGAATCTTTTATTAGCTCCTTGTTTCTGTGTGTAAGGGTGAGTCTTTGACTACATCTCTAATCATGATTTCTAACATATTTTCTAGGCCTTTAGACTGCAAGAGTGCTTAAAGCTTTTCGCTCTGGCAACCAATTTAACTTTTCAAAAGCAGAAATTATTTTTGCAGCAATGAAGTTTGATGTTGGAACAGAGGTACAGACTGCCATCAGCATTATTAGTCTTATCACTTCAGGGCAAGTTTGACATTTCTCTTCCAAGTTAAAAAAGCAGACATGATGACACCTCTATTTTATTGACCAGTTGACTTACCATCTGTTGAAAGCTGCAGCTTTGAATGCACTGGTAAAGACAGAGAGCTGCTACTGTTTACAGTAACATACAGTATACAGTGAACAGTGGTTGCCAGAAGCTGAAATGAAAAACTCATATTAAAGCAACAGCTCTGTTCATCTGCCTCAAGGTCTTTTGAAATATACTTTAGAAAGTAATGTGGGATTTAATTTTGGGTAGTGATGTTGAAAAAAAAACCCTTCATAATAAAAAAAAGTAACAATAAACAAACTCATACCCAAAAAAGAAAAAAAAAAAAAATTCCATGATCTTCCAAATTGAGTATATTAGCTGTCATACATGACAACTTTGAATTCTTGGAAGTCTTTCCCTGAATTGTTAAATTCATAGCGTAGGGAAAACCCTGCTTTTACAATGTGTTTAAATAGAGCTTTTTCTTCTTCCTTTTGGTTTGTGATCCTCAAAGTAGCATATCAATGAGCACATTCATATCCAAAGTAGCAAGTCCATGAGAATTTGGGTAGGAAATCTCCAATTCACCCTAAATTTTCTTTGAAGAGTCTCTTGTCTCTGAAGAATTTGTCTTTGGATACACCGTTGGTGTTTCTTCTATTAACTGCTATAATCAAACTTTCTTACCTGTGATCGATCAAATGCTGATCATGTGTGATCATGTTTTCAGGTTTTGTGATGAAATTTGTTACAAACACACAGCGTGTCTTGTAATTGATGTGGTGACACGTCTTGTAATTGATGTGGTGACACATGTGGCTCTAACGAGAGTGCTCTCACTGTGCACTCTCATTGCAGTGTGTCCTCCAGCCTGACTCCCTCTGCCATTGTGTCACTAGGCTAGCTTAGGATTTGAAGACATTCTACTCACTAAGCTGTACTTAATTAGCTGCAATTTGACCTTGTCTGCTCTTTAACACTCTGGTTTAGGTAGCTCAAGATAAGCAGTAGAAAGAATGGTGATTTCCTGCCCTTCCAAGCAAACAAACAGAAAAAACCACAACAAAACACAAAGCATTCCAACCGTCTAGATCTTGTTTCAGCTAATGGACATTGCACCGTGTCATGTAAAGAAATAGTCTGTTTTTAAAAAATCAAAATTTTTGTTAACTAATCTACACGTTTCTGTAGAGTATATGCTAGAGTACTCTGGAAAAAAATAAATTGCATATTTCATCTTCAAATATTCATTTTGAATTTATTCTCTTTAATAGAGTTGTTCTCCAAAGCACATGCTAATTTCTGGCTTGGCTGGAATTGTTCTGGCCTGGGTAGTTATCGGGGATGGTGCACAGAGGTTTGGGTTCAGTGTGTCTTTCTAGTTTTCTCTTTGACTCTTGGATAAAATGGAGTAAAGATAAAGGGATTCAGAAGACAGGTGCAGTCGTCAGACACCAGAGGGTGCCCCAGACTCACTTTTCAGGCAGCAGGCAAATTCAAAGATGTGAGGTGTGTCTGCATTGCTTGGGCTTATTTTGCAGTGAATATCCAGTAGAAATGTCAAACCTGACTTTGTGCAGTGTATCACTCAGAACTCCTGAGTTCTGCTTTCCACCTTGTCCTAGTAAGCTTAAATCACTGGAGGCTTGTAACAGCTGGGTGAGTTTTTCCTGGTCATTTCTAAATGTGACACGATCAAATGTAAAGAGCATTAAAGCAAGTGGTGCAGAAAAGGGGCTTTATGAGCGGGATTGCTGAAAGTGAAAGCAAGTCAGTATCCAGCAGAAACAGCTTTGTGTACACTCTAATATTTTGAATTTATCACCTTTGTAGAATGATTTCAACAGCTTACTCAAAGTACAGGGTCCCTTACTTAAAATGATTGAAGTTTGTTTGAATAAAGAAAAAAGAGTAGTAAAAAGTATGAACTTACCATGGCTTCTGAAACTTCCTTTAATCTTTAGTGAGCACTTTTCTAAGGAATATAGTGGCAATTTCTTTGGGTTAAGTAAAATAAGTGCAGCGGTGTTTTCATATATTTAATCAAAGCTTGACTTAATGCAAACTTATGTCTCACAGTGAAAAAGTTAGAATTAGTACTGAAGAACACAGTACAGGTCTGCTTGCATATAAACTCTTGCATGCTTGTACACTCTAGAGAGACTGTGTGCGTGGAAATAATCAAGAAAATAGTAACCTGGTAAAGGCAGGTTATAAAGAAATGAAACTTTTGTATGTAGAAAAATTGATAGAAGTTTATCTATTCTTTGCTTGAGTGTTTTCAGTATGTGGCCAGATTAAAAGCAGAAATTATTTCCTGAAACTGCATGTTGTACCTGGGATGCAAGCTTCCTTCCTGGGATTCCATAAACAGTTCCACTGGAGTAATGTCAGGTTCCAGCACCGAGAGCTTGTGATGTGTGTTCCTGGTGCTGGTTGTGCTGATTTTGTCAGCAGATCTGTGGCAGTCGCTGTGCTTCAGTGGGATTCTTGTCTCTGCCATCAGCAAAGATTTCTCTGTAGTGGTCACTAAGAAGAGGAAACTGGAATGTACTTGTGAAGATCAGTTAGCACTCAATTATCATCCCATGAAGATTCATTGACACGCTTGTTGAAAGTTCAGAGTCTGTTAGGCTGATAGAGCCTGAGTATACACTTGGAGCTGTTCAGCTGCTGGTTGAGAAGGGGTAGGAAGAGGGAAGCTGTTCTGGCACTGTTGGCTTCAGCTTTAAATTGTAACTGTGGACATCTAACTGTTCTGACAGTCCTGGAATTTAACGCTTTCCTTAGCATGATGGATTTGGGGCACAAGCCTGGTTGGGAAGCTATTGTGTGTAGTTAGACCTAAAGAGCTGGAGCTAGTTTGAGAATCGATTGAGTCTCCTTTTCCCTGAACATACACACATAGGACCTGCTAGCAATGAGGGCACACGAATGGAAGGAGTGACAGAAGAAGGCTGGACTCAAGGCTAGACTCCTTTTCTGGCCAGGTCTCTCACTGGAAGTTTGCAGAAGAATTGTGCCATAGAAATGGCACACTGGTTTGTGCACTGAAACCCAAAGGAAAAAATGCATCTATAGTTTTAAGAAAAATATCCTAACATTTTCTTTTGTCTTTCGAGTATTGCTTAACCTCAATGCCAACTCATGTTCTAATAACTTTAGCTTCTGCCTCTAGTCAGTCAAAGGATAGCCTCCAAGAAATATCATTTCACCTTAGAACGACAGATTTCTGGCTAACCCCTTGTTCAAGAGTTATTGAGGCCACGCATTGTTTTCTGAAGGTGAACTTTATCAAACCTTGCTGGAGAATACTTTCCAAGAGGGGGTTTGTTTTCTGTGCTTTCCAAATAAAAAGATGTTCAGATTGAGTGATTTTACTTATCTGTCCTAATACTATGGATGTCTGTTTTGGATTGGTCCTGAATCCCTGAAGGCACCATTAGGTCCTTTGTCACATTGTGAAGTAAAAATGCTTTCTCTTTATGGTCTGAACTCATTTGATAAAAGCTTGGATTGTTTCACTGCCAAAGTAGTGCAAAAACATTTTCAATGTAAGATTCATTCAGTATTTTAACTTAAATGATCTCCAAAGAAAACCCATAGGCTGAAGCACACTGGCTACTATAGCTAGTCTGAGTGATGTTCACCCTAATTGAGTTTTCATTTTGAACACATAGTCCAAAGCTGCTACATGAGAATCCAGCTAATAGTGTTACCAGCTAGAGCTCTGGCATGTGCTTCAGAAGCTGTGGCATCTTCCCTGCTATATACACAAGTATGGTAGGACTGATTCAAAGTACAATGTCTGGACTGTTTTTAGTAAGTAATCAAGGAGTGTTTGTATCCTGTGTTTTAAGGGAACTCGCTAAAGAAAACTGAAGATCATGTCTGTGCTAATAAGCCTGTGCTTTAAGCCTCAGTTTGCAAGATGTACATCTTGGTTAGAAAATGGGTTGTTTATAGTCCAGTGAATCAACATTCAACTTCATTCCACACTTGGTTCTATCTGGTGAATTAATTTTTGAACAAATTTCAGGCTGCAAGAGTGGTGGTGCAGGGTTAGGGCTTGTGGGAACTTTTAATCTGGGTTTAACTCAGTCCTAGTTTTCCAAGGTGGCTCAAAATTTCAGTTTCATATAAAGGATTTGCATGCCTAGCAACTGAGGCATTAGCCAAATTAATGTTTCAGAGGCACCTTGAAGAAGTGTGAGAGCTTTTAGGAGCTCCCTATCCACACCCACACTGAACATCTATTGTATGCAGGATATGTTAATGTGGCTGCTTGTTGATAGTTGAGATTTTTTCTTTGTCTATTCTGAACAAAGTTTAAAGTGTTGGTATTCTCTTTTGTAGAGATGAAGATGACCTAAATGATGTGACTTCTATGGCTGGGGTTAATCTCAGCGAGGAGAATGCCTATATTTTGGCAACAAACTCTGAGCTCATTGGCACAGTGATTCACTCTTGCACAGATGAACCATTTCTGTCTTTGGAAGCTCTTCAGAGTAAGATCATGAACATAGGTGAGAACAAAACACACGTAGCAGATATGCATGGATGTAGTGTTTCCTTGCCTCTTTCATCAGCCAGCCTCCAGTCTTTGAAGAAGGACCTGGAACTGTTAAGATCTGCCATCTCAGTTCATCTCATGTGTTTCTATGAAACAATAATGAGTTTTCACTTCCCCTTCTAGGAAGCAACTGTCCTTTAAGGTTTTTTTTACATGGAAACAGTCTGAAGTACAACCAGAAAAAAAACAACTGATGTCACTTTAACATGTGAGAAGTGATCAACTTTTTTACTCTTAAACCTAATGTAACACTTAACAACAATAAAGGTGCTGGTGTCAAAACACTTAAATCTGCTTTTGTCTCAGCAGCTTCTAACTTGGTGCATTACACTGATTTCTCTAACTATTTTTGCATTCCTGAGCTGGTTCAGGAATATGTACTCTATTGAGTAACATTAGGAAGAAGTTTCAAACTTCCGATACACACAGAGCAGAGCTTTGTGTATGACTCCCTCCGTGGAAAAAGAGATGTTGGAGCAGTTTGTATGTATAATGAATAATACTGTGGAATGTACATTGAATGTTACAGGAAGTTTCTAGTGTAGATATAATTTCAGCTATTATCTTTTGAGCAAAAATAACATGTGTTGCTTAATAATGTTGTATTATGTCAGAGCAGGGAGCATGCAGCTGTGTAGCAGCACACTGGCTGGTCCCACTGCTGTCGACAGCAAACTCAATGCATGTTGCTCCTTGCTTATGCCCTCTGCTTGCTACTTGCTGTACTGAAACACTGAGTTTTACAGCTGAGTATCCAGGAAAGCCTGAATGTGCAGTCACAATTCTGTCACAGTGGCTTAACCATGTGTTAACAGTCTTTCTGTTTCCACATACTACTGGTTCTTAGACCAGAGAGAGCAGCTAGCCTGTGACAAGCACATAACCTGCAAGTGCTACCTGTGACCTTGGTGCTCCTGCCCTGGTCAGCCAGATGTGTCATCTCGAGCTGTAAGGGGCATAAGAAATGCTGTGTTACTAGTGGCAAAGGGAAAATGCACATCAGACCTGGTGCCTAGAAGATGTTCTCAAAGTTCAGTAGAAGATTAACCAGTCATTCATGGGAATAAGTGGGTATAAGGAAAAATAAAGAGCTCTGCAAAAACAGAGAGAGTATTTCTAGAATAATTTGCTGGTTGTGGATGTAAAGACAAGGTATTGAAAGATGGGAAATAGAAGCCTGACTGTTTCATAACTAGAATGGTAGTTGTTCCAAATTAATAATAACAATAATAATAGCAATGTCAGTAATTCATGTCATAAATGATGAGTGCTTGTTTGCAAGGAAAGGAATGCTGCCAGGGAGTAGAGCAATTCAGAAGGTTAACTTTTTTTTTTTTTTTTGAACTGAGCCATCTTTGGATTAAGAAATGTGTGCGTGCATGTGTGTAGGGAGGTCTTGAGGTTTGGGGGGATTTTGTTTCGTCTTTAAGTTGGTGTTTCAGTAATCTGATAGTCTAGTGAGAAGCTGCAGAAGAAATATTGAAAAGTACTTGAGCAAAATGAGCTTTGCAGTCAGTTAAGTTACAGGCCTGTGCTTACTGATCAAACAGAGTTGATTATGGTTGATTGTATCTGGGACATTATAGGTTCTCCCCGCCTTGTGAGATTGTCATTCATTTTTAGTTACAGTAGCAAAAGCAAATGAAATAGGTGATTAGTTTTTTTACAGTGCGCTGTTTATCCATTCTTAACACTTCACTTGGCAGTAAATACTGAAATGGGCTTTGAAGGCGTGCTGTATATTGCATCATAAAGCATTACAGCTGCTGTAAATGCAGCGTAGGGCAAGGAAAAGTGCTTCTGACAGGTACAACGTATGAGGCATGTGGAACTGCTGCCTGCCGTGCCTACCAGGGAAACGCCGCTGCCGCCCAGGTGTCTCTGGAGCCGCGCTGAGTGATGGATGCTGTCAGCCATGGCAAGGCTTCTCTGTCGGCAGCCTGCAGCCGCGGGAAGGTCGCAGAGGTGATGCCCAGCTCTGGGTGCAGGGCCAGCACAGCCTTGCCTGGAGCTGTCAGCAGCCTCGGTCGCAGCTGCTGAGCCGCGGAGATGCGGCGGCAGCCCGAGAGGAAAGGTTGAAGGTGGCGGCAGGATGGAATCTGCGCTGTCCGAGCGGCTGCTGTGCGTCGGTCGGGTCGGTCTGCCCCGTCTCGGTCAGTCAAGGCAGTTCGGAGGGTCTCGTGCGCCTGCAGTGCGCTGCTAAACCCATTCCTGCTCGTCAAATAAATGTCATGAGTTGTTAACAAGCACGGTGTCAAACAGGGCAAAATGTAATTCTGTATTTTTTTAATTACTGGAATTAACAGAATATGGCACTAATTTCTACAGCTACCGCTTCTCCCCCTCCCTGAACATGAAGCTTGATTTGTGTTCTTATTAACTTTGTCCTATAAATGACCTTGCAAGGAGAGTGGTTCTGGAGGCTAAGTGAAACAATGTCTATATTTTCTGAAGCTCCAGGCTAAGTTTTATTAATGTAATGTCTAAGATCTTTGAAGTTGTGACTTTACCAGGAAAATCATAATCTCCAAACCTTTATTCATAATGGGTATGACTTCCAGGGGGAACAGAATACCTGCTGTGCTAATTATTTCAATTATCAGCTACTACTAAAACACGTAATGGATTTTCTCTGCTTCCACAGGTAAAAGGCATGACATTATGGAACTTAACTCTGATGTTGTGAACTTCATCTCCCACGCTACACAGGAGAGATTACGAGGACTCCTAGAAAAACTAACTGTAATTGCTCAGCACAGAGTATCAACCCACAAGGTAAAGGAAATCATTAGTAAGTTTTGCACAAAGTTTTCCTGCTTTGCAGCCTTGAAGGTAAACCTCCTTCCAAGTGTAGGCACATTACAGGCAACATTTGTGTTCTCAGTATCTACCAAAGGCTGGTTTTAGCTATGTCTAGCCCAGCATGTAACTGTTCCCTTTGATTGTTGGACAGGTACTCTTAAAACCCAAGACTAAATGAATGTGTTTCTTCTCTTCCTTAGCAGTGGTGGCTGTTATACAAAGTCTCTTTAATGGTAAATGGAAAGCTAATTTTGAATGCTCTTGATGGTGGGTTGATTTAGGGTCTTGTGTTTTCCTTATGCATATAGTATTGGTGGAATTGCAGCCAGTATTGGCTCAGTAAAAAGCCTTGGGAAAAGAAATTGATTATTTTACTTTTAGAAAATGCTTCATGAAGGCAGAGGCCCTTTTCATCTTAAGATTTTTTTTTTCATCTTAAATCTTTTTTTAGCTTCATTCAATATATATTGTGTCCCAGTGAGCTAGTATCCCTTAAGATGCTTGTATGGTGCAAATGGGAAGTGATAATTTACTGGCCAAACTAGCTCTTTCTTTTTTCTTTTGTCATTCAATAGCAAGATGCTAATCCTTGCTTACAATGTGAAGCTGTTCTAGGAAAAAAAGAATTGAGAAGCAAATGTGTCCATCAACTCATAGTTTCCTGTTTATTCAGGTTGAGTATTTTTGCAAGAACTTTATGTTTAATGAAATTTAGAAGAGCATCCAACTGATAGGAGTTATTTTTGTACTGAACACTCTTTATAGGCTTTTCAGCACTGGAGCAGCAATAGTAAAGAGGAGCAACCATTTGGAAACTTCTGAGTATTTATGGTATTTTCTGGAGCAGCAGGAGTATTCTGTTCCTTGCCAGAAGGAGATGTTATAGAAAAGAAAATCAAGACAGGACAGGCACAAAGTTTTGAATGAAAATACTTCAGAAATCTGCACTTGTTGTATGTTGTTTTCTCCGAAGTGGGAGGTACAATTGAGCTTGTGAGCAAAAGTGAGGAGAAAGCTGAAGTCCAGAGTAACCAGTAGGACATGGTGTCTTGCAGACACCAAGAGCAGAAGGAAATGGTTTTGGACAGTAGGCCGGATAGGGCTAGTTTCTTTCTCATTGAACTAAAGCAATAGAAAAACAGGTTTTTGTCTGATTGAATTGCCAGAAGCAATGATAAGATTATGAGATTGCAATAAGCTGGCTTTCTTTTCCTCTTTCCTCAAAAGCAAAACAAACAAAAAAATCAAAAGTAACGGGCACAAGTAATCTTAGAGGCACAGATACCCTCTTTTGTTAGGAAGATGGTATTACGTGACAGAGGAGTGTCCTACAGGATTACCTTTGTGAGCAATGTTATTGTGAGGGATGCTGACAGGCTTTTAGAAATCTTAAGTTCAAGAAGAGAACACTGCAGGATGCTGGAGTCCTGTTATGTATTAATAGAGGTATTTATACAGCCCTGTATTCCATCTGCCCTGGTGCTTACCCCCTGTTCTCCTTTCCCTCGTGGCTTTTGATTGGTACCCCTGCACAATGTGGGCTACATCTATGTCAGATAAATTCCCAGAGTCTTTCCAGGAGGGTTGGGTGGTTGCTCCATAAGGGGCTTTGTACTGGGCTCTCTTCATTACAGAAATACAGTAATAGGGCTAGTTGTGGTGAAACCAAAGTAACTATTGTTAGGGTAGGAGTTGGTGTAAAAAGGCCAGTAATTGATGGGATCATAGTCAGGAAACTCTTCTTCCCAGTCTGCTCAGCTCATGCCTAGCAGCTTTCATCTGACAGATAGCCCTGCAGGGAAAGTGAATTGGCAGGGTAAAAGCTTCATGCTGTGCCATCATGTAGACTTGTCAACTGTAGTCCTTTTTTTGTTAAATTTAAGAAATTATATTTGGAAGCCACTGACTTAATTGGGATAAAGCTATGATGGTGGTCTCTTTATGTGAAGTAGGAATAGCCTTTCAGATGGTTGGGAGCTGCTCTCTGTGATGCAGCTCTTGTTGCAGTGCTTGTATAGTCTTTGGAAGACCATAAAGGGAAAAGGTTTTTATGTGGATTCATAATCATGATCAGCTGCCATGCTCCTGTGTTTGGAGCCCCTGAGCTCATGGCTCTGAGAGGCATGGTGTGGTGCTGAGCTATAAATGATGCACCATGAACACATTTTCCCTTCATGCAGTGGCACTGAAATGCCACAGCACTAAACTGCATTACCTGTAGGGCCATGGGATGTGGGTGATAATGCTTCATCATAAGAGCACTGGCTACAAGTCATGAACAGGGCTACAATGTAATGTTTTCTGTCTGAGCAATTCCCTGCTAAATGACCACAGAGAAGTTAATTGAGTAGGACAAAATATAACTGCAGGTGTTCCTCTTTAAAAATTCCTGAAATAAGCTATCTTAAAAGGTGATGAGCTGAAATACTGTTACGTATGCACCTATTTCTTGTCCCATATAAGCTCATGGTAGTGCATTGGGGAGCTTCTGCTTGAGAAATTTGCATTGGTGGTTGGTATAGGGTCATGGATTTGTTTTAAAATGTGTAAATATCTGGCTATTCCAAAGCGAAACACTTCTAAACTTTGGAAAAAATAATCTTCTGGTACTACAGCTTTCTTATTTGTCCTTTTAAAAGGATTGTGGCATGGTGGTGGATTATTATAAACTGCTGCTTCAAAACAAGTTGTACTGATGTACTGAGAATGACTCAGAAATAGCTTATGCTTTGTGGGGAGCAGTTAAAAAAGACTTGAGCAGTGACAGAAGTGGAGGGGAAAAGGTTTGTTGGACTTTTTTGCAGAGCCACAGATGCTGCTTGAGAAGGTCTCTGTTGCAGCATATGGTGTGTTTTGAGCCACAGTTGGTAATACATGACAATGAGGTGGCTCATTGAAAAGGACCAAACGTAATACCAGAAAGGGGATTGATTTCATGCTCTGACTCAGTTGTGACAATTCAGATCAGAAGACAACAGTGCTCCACAAGAAAACTTTTACTTTCCTTCTGTCTTTTCATAGTGCACAGCTGGGTGTGAGAAGAAGAGTCTGAGTGTCTTATCCTTGGAAACTAAAAGCTGAGTAACTGAAGTCATGGGTAGTCCATATACTTAACATACAACCTTGCCTAAAATACAGCTGTAAAATATCCTGTGCTTCTTTTAGAATAGTTGTATGTCAGAATTGTTTCATTACAATGTGAGCCTGGTGTGAGATAGAACGAAGAGTCACCGGAAGTGCATAGTGGTTTGGCTGGTAAATGCTTGAGGATAAGTTTCTCAAGAAAAAAATAAAACAAGTTCACAAAGTAACAGAGAAAGAAGGCAGCTGTAGGACGTGTACTAAAAAGTGGTACAAACAGGTGGCACAGACATGCCTCATCTATAATGTGCTCCTTGTCTTGTGTTGCCTAATTGCCATCTGGCCAACGCATGGCTGAAGAAGTCTGTCTTGGGAAGAGCAGAATAGTAAAACCAAGCTTTTCATTGCCAGTTGACAATGTTTGGGATCTTTCCTTTCTCTGCCTTTCTGAGCTAAAGTAAATGTCAACTCAAGCTTTCCAGTAGGGGCAAAAATAAAACATAAAATAAACTACTGATTGATATTCTTGAGACCAAAAGGACTTCAGTCCTGTTTCAATGCCTGTGTGTCCAGTGATTCTTGGACTAAAACTAATCATTAGTATTCACTGGCCCAGCTTTGTACAGGTGGCTGGACCAGATGACTTCCCTAGGTTACCTTTCAACATAAGCTATCCTGGGACTTGAAAGATTCACTGAGGCAAAAATATGTATTCTTAAAGCTATAATAAACCTTATATAATATATTTCACCTTCTTCACCCCTAAGACTCATTATAACTGGTTCTAGACCACCCCTCCAATACATAAATCATCTTTTTGGAAATCCCAGGTGATGCTTGTTTCAACTTCTGCATTAAATGGCTGAAACTGGAACACAAATCACTAGAAACTTATAATATCAAATTCTAATTATTTTTCTCTAAAAAGGAGAAAGGAGATTATGTCCTGCTGCTTTACAATTCCTTTTTCTTTTCCTAACGTGTTTACTGGATAGTAAGTTGATGTTTTAAAACAAAATTTCTTTAGTCTTTAGTCTAAGATTAGGGAAGACTTCTATTATTATAGTCGATATAGACTGGATGTTGTTAATGTCACTTGTTCAATAACCTCTTACTAGTCACAGTCACCTGGAAACATACTTCAGTGGAGAGGAGATGTGTAAATGACTACCTACCACCTGAAGTCTTGATAAAACAGCCCACACTTTTCAGCCTTGAAAAATAGTGTTGTTCTTCTCAGGTTGTTCCCATTAGGTTTATCAGCTCAAGGTTGTCTATAACAAAGTTGTTTTTTCAGGGAAGTGATAAGTACATTGTATGTAGTGACACCAGAGCACAACTGAGATTTCTTGAGAAGCTCGATCACCTGGAAAAGCAGAGAAAAGATGAAGAGGAACGTGAAATGTTACTTCGAGCAGCCAAGGTAAGACTCTAGGTTTCCAAGGAAGTAGTCATATCCTCTAGATTGGTGAGCATCTTCAGATTTCTCCTACTTCTGCTTTAAGTATAGTAACCATTAATTCTGTCACTGCAAATCTATAATGTTTAGGACAATTGAGGCTATACAAAAAAGGATTTAACCTATTTACATTTTTTTAAAAGTCCACAGGAGTTCTTTGAAATGTGTGGTGGGGTGAACTGCTCTTTTGAGATTATTTCTACTGGTCAAAATTAAGTAAAAATCTATAAATGTCATTCCTGTATCTCTTTTTGCCTCTGAAACAGAAGCCTGGTGAGATCCACCACCTTTGCAGGTGTATTTGTTTTCTGTAGTCAAGTTCAGAGGGTTAGCCTTGGAGCTGGTACCACAGGATCCATGAACCCCTGGTGGAGCTGTTGCTTGTACAGAATAAGTTTCTTCTCTCTTCCTTCCCCTCAGGAAGAGGAGGGGAAAAAAAAAGCTACGACAGTAGATGTTGTTTCATCAGCTGTGACTTGACCATCTTCTGTTTATTCTTTTCTTTTGGTTTTGTTTCAGGCTGAATTCTGGAGCCGCTTGGGTGGAAGCCTGATCTAGGGTTGAAGGAACAGTGTTGTGCTTGCATGAATAGAACTCCTTTCTTTCCTATACTTCCTGTCCTTTTTTAAGTGTCTGCTGCAGACATGAACAACATCATGCCTAGACTGGACCTGACTGACAGTGTTAGCATCATTTTCAGCTTAATCTTGCCTCTGGCTAGAGCAGAGGCAGCCGGCCCAGTTGAGGAGGGGTGTGCACGTATGTGCATGGAGGGGGATGGAAGCCCGTCTGGATTGAGGCATTCACCCCTGGAGCTAAATCTTTCAATCACCAGAGAAAACTGTCATTTATTAAATATTCAACAGATAGGATGGTGTTTGGACACCAGTAATTTCTATTCAATCTTTTTCTTCTTCCTTTGGCAGAGCCGTTCCAATAAAGAAGATCCAGAGCAACTGCGGTTAAAGCAGAAAGCAAAAGAGGTAAGAGTTTCCAGTTACCATGCTTGCCTTTGTGTGTTGAGAGGAGGTTGGCAGCCCTGTCCTGGCAATTAGGTCAGGGTTTATTTTGCTGCTGCATACCATTTGCAGAGGCCTTGGGGAAGGACAGGAACTGCCACAGGCAAGGGCAGTGCTTCAAATGAGGTCAATGAATTATGAGCTCTCTTTTTTTAACATTTTATTTTTGCAGTTTCAGTCCTGTCTCGAAGCAGTCCTTTGTAAACTGCAGCAGTACACTTGGTAGGAATATAATGTGGGATTAGAAAAAAAAAAAAAAAAGAAACTTTGAGATTTAGCATCTGGGACTGTACAATAGGCTACATTTTTCCAGGGTAATTGTTCGTTTTGTAAATCTGATACTGCTTATAATTCTTTGGCTGGGAGGCGGTACTGGGATTTAGTTTTAAATGGAAAACGCCTCTGGCTTTTAATTTTCTGGGCCCAGCAGTTTTCTGTTCTGGAATGGAGCCCTTGTTTCACACAGTTCATGTTTAGCTGCAGGGGTTTTAGTTTATAGCTTAGACTGGTTAAGCTTTTACTCCCAGAGGCCTCTGCATAGCAACTGTAGAAATCAACAAATAAGTTCATTTATGTCTGCAGCCTCCTCTCAGTAGCTGACTTTTTACATTTCCCAATATCCATTTCCTGACTTTTCTAGCCTGAGAGAAAAAAGCTCCACTAATTGGAGCTTATTTTAATTGAGCCTTAATATTGGATCTCACTGGAGTTGCCCCCAGAGCTACTGGGAACAGAATGAAATGAAAGTACCTAAGGTTGAAGATGTGTGTGCGTGTGTATGTGTGTGTGAAATTTTTCACTTGACCTACAGATTCTTGTCCCTGCTGAATAAATCATCAAGCCTGTTCACATTTCTGATTAAGGATCTGACAGCAGACGATAATAAAGACAATTGAGGTGTGAGACGTGTGATACAGAGCTGAAGAAATTGGTTTCTATAGTTACTTGACTGATTTCATGCAATTTTTAAGGATCTTTGTGCTAAATGAGAGTGATTTTCTGAGCAACCTTTTTCCTTAACTGTGCCTCTTGAACTATGAAATTTGTTGTTGCTTAACATTGCTGCACTTGGCTCCTAGGTGCCAGCAGCAGCAGGTTATTTATGAATGCTTTAAAGGCCCTTATTGTTTGGATTAATGTAGGAGCCCAGGCAAAACAAATGGAAATCCAGTAAAATAGTATTTGAATCAATGCTCTGGATTTGGACCACAGTAGATGAAATTTGTAAAGTGAGAAAGAAGGAACTTGCTTTACCTACCTATCTTTTAATTCTTTGTTTCTGCTTACAACTCTTTCTTCATTGCTACAATCTGTGAGTACAAAGTTGCCCTAAAGCCCTTCCCACTTTGCCTCTAGTGCCACCAGGATCAACAATCAGTGGGTGATGCTAATCTGTTTTGTTTTGTAGGTGACTTCACCTCAGCATCATCTGATAATTTCTAGATGTACTTTCTTTTAATAAAGGCTGCAAAGTATTTCATTTATGCAGCTTTTTTTCCCTTGTTTTCTGAACAATAATGTGTAAAATTATTAAAACTATTCTGTGGTTTGCATATTTAGAACACAAAGAAGGTTAGATTAGATTCTCTGATATTTTTCATGAGATCTCTTTTAAAAAGTGGCATGGTGGTGTACAAAAAAAGGAGCCAACAGAGCAGAGAAGGCATATAAGTTTAGTGCTTGGTGTTCTAATATGTCTTGAGTTCCCATCCTTCAGTGCATCTCATCTTGTGCCAGACTAACTCAACCTGCATCACTCTTTGTCCTGTGTATTTCTCCATACTGTGCTGCTCCCAGAGTGACAGTCTCCAACTGCTTCACCAGAAGAAGAGGAGGCACATGTGCCTCTTGGGGCAACACAGATCTTTGTGTTGGTATTCACTTGCCCTCTGTCCTGCTGCTTTGTTCTCCAGAGAATGAGGCAGCCAGAAGCTTCTCCAAGCTTCATATGGAGAATGGGGACACCCACCTTCTATGCCAGTGGTGCTTTTTCATCTGAGACCATCTCAAGATTGAGTGGAAATGAGACAAATCCATCTGGAAAGAATTAGCACTTTATTGACAGTTTAGGAGAAAACTGGTCAGCACACATTTGCATTGAAAAAATGCAAGCATGAATAGGACTGGAATAAGAACAAAATAAAAATCAACAAGTATCCCAAGACTAAAACTGGTAACACAGAAGCATGGTGTACAGTGGGATGAAGGCTTGAAATGGCTTACCCTTGTCTGTCTGTCTTGTCATGTTGTAGTTATAGTCTGCTCCTAAGGAACCAAACTTGGAAACATTGATACCTTGTCAGCTGGAATCAGATCCTTTCCAGGCCACTGCAGTCGAGTATCTGTTGGAAAGCCTGATCTGATTGTCTGCTTATAGTTCTTTAAGAATTAATATGGACCTGCCTTCCTCAAAGCCGTCTTTTGTACGTTGATGGGAGAATGGAGAGGGTGTGGAGTAATGGCACTGTAGCATGTTCTAGAACAAAGTTTCCCAAAATGCAGGGTGTACATCCTGACAATGAATACTTATAAATCCAGGATGTGCTGTCATCCAGTAGCTGGAAGCAACATCTTAACATTGCTGGAAGTACATCCAGAGACTCTGCAGTGGATTCTTTTATCCAAAAAGCTATGCATAATTGCTATGCATAATTGCTGTGACCTTTTCATCCCTTTTTGCATGACCTATTGCCTCAAACTTCTCCTATGCTAAGTCCTTTAGTTTCCTATATTCTTAGTCTGTGTAGCTTGCCGTGAATTAAGTCTGTATTTATTTCCGTCTTTCACCTGTTTCAGCAGATTTTAATACCTATGGAAAGTGCACATTCCTTCTGAGACAGCTGCAAGGCTTGCCCCAAGCTGCTGCTTTGTGCACTCAAGAATTTTGTCCTTGCTCTCCTCACGGACCAGCTCTTTGTGCAGTGGCGTTCCTGCAGTCTGGGTAAATTACCCCTGTTTTTCATTCTGCTTTATCTGCCTCTTCAAGCTGAGAGGATGCAGTCCTCTCATTGTCCATGATGTTTGCACTATTAAACCGTGACTTTTTTTAGGTGGTTTCTGCTATTTCCTGTTCTACTTTCCACAGTGCTTCCAGTTACAAAGAAAATGTTCAGTCAATGTGATTCTTGCTGCTGTATTTATGGTTTATCTGTGGCTTCTTCCCCTTTCCTAAAATGAGCTTTCCTAAATTGAGTAGGTGTAGGAGGATACTGTCAAATGTGCAAGCCAGACATATGAACAGTTCATCGCAGAAGACCTGTAAAAATGTCAGTATTAAACAGTGTGTACTATAATTCTAAATATAAACTCTGATCCCTCAGAGTCATTTAGGTTGGAAAAGACTTCTAAGATCATTGAGCCCAGCTGTTAACCCAGCACTGCCAAGTCTCGGTCCATCACTAAACGGTGTTCCTAACTGCCACATCTAAATATTTTTTAGATTCCCCCAAGGATGGTGACTCAACTACTTCCTAGGACAGCCTGTTCAAATGCTTGACAACCCTTTTGATGAAGGAATTTTTCCCAATTTCTTTGTACTTCTGTCCACCCTCATCTTGTACTGTGGCTTCAGGAAGCTTCAGGCTGAGCCTGGGCAAACCTTTCAGAATGTACCTGGGCAAGATACCTGCTTGGGGTTGAGCAGGTGAAGAGGTATTTTACTGAGAGTATCTTTGTTTATTTCCATAGTAGCCACCTCTATCCCTGCTCTTACCTTGTCTGTCAGCACATAAAGGGGAGCAGATACATCTTGAGCTAGGGGAGGAGTGTGTGAAGCAAGCACCTGATGGACAGCAGATTTGCCTGCCCCATTCTTTGCTCTCTCAGCAGCTCTGTTCACTTGGGACTGCACAGATCTTCCCATCCCCTTGTTCCTGCCTGATTGACAAACTCGTGCATTTTTTGACACAGATACAAGATGGCAGTAGATGAGATGCTGAGAAAATTCAATACCTTTAGTATCAGCTGACTGGGAGGAAAATGGCAAACCCTAGAGTTTCTGTAGAGACAAAACAACACCAAACAAAGAGCCAGCATGATTCCAGTGCATTCTTACATAGTAATGACTGAATTTGAGTTTTTCTGTAGCATCTTTTCAACAGTTACCATCTTTTGTTTTGTGATTCATATAACCTTCTAACTCCTTATTTCCTCCCACATGCTCAGGTAACAAGTTACTGTAACTTGATTCTTTGCTGCTTTCCCTACTACCTCCAACTCACATTTTCAAGCTGTTTTCTTTTTCCTCTTGTGCTGCTTCTCTATCTAGTCTTCTGGACCCAGTGTTCAAATTATTTAAGACCACTCTTGTGGGAGGGGAGAAGTTAACCATAACCTCTCAAAAAAGCAAGTACAGGTTGCTGCAAACAAAACAAGACCTTGTTATCAATTGGCTTTTTTTATGAGCCTTCAGTGGCAACCTAAGAGTTTCTGCTTAATTACCTGATTTATATTATCTTTATTGTTCTGTAGTGTTTCTTAACCTGCTTCTGCATGTTTTGGAAAAAAAAACAAAACCACATGATAATCAAAGAGACATAAATTTTATTAGCTGCAATGTTGCCTTACAAATTACAAAGGGCAATCATCAGAGATTTGGTGTGTTACAAGTCTTGTAGAAAGTCAGGAATAGAAATTCCACATGTTAGATTACTGGGCAAACTACAAAGCAAATCAAATGGCTATAACCAGCTCACATTGGTGTTTTGAAGGAATGTAAGAAAAGAGCAGCTGAGACACTGCATCTAATACCCTAAAACCATCTGCCTGAAAGATGGTAACAACTATCTTTAGTGAAAAACAGCCCCCCTCAAAATTCCATAAAGGGTGTTCTTGGATTTACAGTAGCCTTTTCTCAGTTTGTCTGAGAGACAGAGAATGAACATATAGCTGGTTGTAAGTATGGCCTTGTATTTGAAATTTGCTAATAGAGGAAACTTTAGGGCTGAAAGTACAAAAAGAAAATG